GAGATGAAAATGGATGATACCAGAGATGCTACTGAAAGAAGATCACTAGGGAATATTTTGAAAACTTATATTTTAATAAATTGGAAAAATCTAAAATAAATGGATTTATTTCCAGCACATGCAGCCTACTAATATTCAACTTGATTTCTACTTACTCTTTGTCTCTCTACTTCTCACCTTAAAAGGAAGAAGATAAAATGAGGATGTGTTTTCTGAATAGATTTTTAAACTCATTTGCGATGTGACATAGAATTATGTCATGGTTTAATGGCTTGTTTTAAAATTATTAGCTCAAATATGATGATAAAGGAGTCCTTTGTTAAAATGTTGTATCTAAAAATAACTTTTAAGTAAATATTTAAATACTGCTGCAAAAATGAAAGTTGAATTCAAAATATGCATTACAGTTTCAAAATAAGGAAGCTACAAGAGGTCCATTTCATAAATGATACATAATTCCTGGTAAGTGGTTAGATATATGACTTTTCGGGTAATAAAAAAGGTCCTCTCTAGAAGTTCCTAATATCCAGTATGGATAGGATTAAAATGGGTAGAAATATCCTATTCTTGGACTCTGTAACTTAAGGAATGGGTTTCCTACTCCCAGATGAGAGTATTAAATTATCAGATACTCCTTTAGATCAGCCAAGTCTAAAAGCTCCTCCCTGCTTTCTGAATTTTACAGTAGAAACTCCTCTTAGTCCATAGCTCTCTCTCTTGGTTTTCTGGGGGTGCTGACTTTTTGAAGAGGCATTTAACCTCATCCCCCCAATTCAGAATAGCCTCTAGAATTGGGATCTACAAGTTTCATTAAAATTTGCGGCTGGGTGCCGGTGGCTCACGTCTGTAATCCTAGCTACTCCAGAGGCTGAGATCTGAGGATCACGGTTCACAGCCAGCCGGGGCACAAAAGACCGTGGGACTCTTATCTCAAATAAACCACTCAGAAAACCAGAAGTGGCGCTGTGGCTCAAGTGGTAGAGTGTTCACCTTGAGCTGAAGAGCTGACAGTGCCTGGGGCCAGAGTTCACGCCCCACAACCAACAAAACAAAACAAAAAAACTTCTGGGTACAGTGCTAGGGTTGAGTATAAGTAACCCATGCATCTGATTACTTTTATATTTCTCTAAATCAGTACCCCAGCAAATGAAAGAAAAGCATATCTAGTCTTAACTTATAATTTTAATTGCCACAGAGGCCAAGTTCAGGTTGAAGGCACTTAACAGCTTGTGCAATTGTTCTATCTTGATACATATTATCTTGAAGACACACCACTCAATGGTTATTGTATATTATAGTGAATATATGTAATATTTAAGTATTGTACATTTCAGTGTCATTGGGACAGTGGATCTCAAATGTTTCTCATCACAAAAGAAGTCAAAGGTTTGAGGTAATGGATGAGTTCATTGACTTGATTTGGTCATTCTGTATGACAGTAAAAAGTCATAACATCTCTAGTACCCTATAAATACGGACAGCTATAATTTAGTAACATATAAGTTTTAAACTTCTATGTATTTTAGAGACTCTGATACAATTATATGCTATGTATTAATTCCCTCATACATAATATTCCTTTACATTTGTGTGAAAATTGTAAAAATTAAAATTATAAAATTAAATGCTTTGGCTGGGTTGGGTGGAGTGTGATTCAAGCCTGTAATCCCAGTTACTTAGGAGGCAGAGATAGAAAAATCATTGTCTAAGGCAAAAAGTACAAGATTCTCCCTAACTGAAAAACAAACCAAAACTGGATGCAGGAATGGCTCATGTGTAGAGTGCTTATAAAGCAAACACAAGGCATTGAGTTCAGAACTCAGTATTTACTCCCCAAATACTTGTGCTTCAGTGATTCTTGCAAAATCTCCTAATATTATCTTAATTTCACAGATAAGGAAAGCAAAGATGCAGAGAGAGTATGGACTAGAGGTATAAGCATCACAGTATCAAGAAAAGAACTCGGGCCGGACGCCGGTGGCTCACGCCTGTAATCCTAGCTACTCAGGAGGCTGACATCTGAGGATCACGGTTCAAAGCCAGCCGGGGCAGGAAAGTCCGTGAAATTCTTATCTCCACTAGACTACCAGAAAACCAGAAGTGACACTGTGGCTCAAGTGGTAGCATGCTAGCCTTGAGCTGAAGAGTTGAGAGACATCACCCAAGCCCAGAGTTCAAGCCCCACGACCGACCAAAAGAAAACTTGGGACTAGGTATCTGCAGACATGCTTTTTTTTGGTATTTGTTTGCCTGTCATGGGGCCTGAACTTTGGGGCCTGGGCGCTCTCCCTCAGCTCTTCAGCTCAAGGCTAGTGCTCTACCACTTGAACTACACCTCTACTTCCAGCTTTTTTTTTCTGCTTATGTGGTGCTGAAGAATCGAACCCAGGGCCTCATGCATGCAAGGCAAGCACTCTACCACTGAGCCACCTTCCCAGCCCCAGACATGCATTCTTAACACACCTTAGTCACTAACTTGATGTGTGGTTATGATTAAGTCATTTCCTCTCTCTGGGCCTTACTACCTGCATTTATAAAATGAAATGATTTGACTTTCTTAAATCTGTTTGTACATTATAATCACCTGGGAACTTTAAAATGCATTTCTTAGCTCCACCTCCAAATATTCTAACTTAATTGGTCACAGGATTTTATGATTTCTGTAATACTCAGAAGAAATCAATGAAGGAAAAACCACAAATGTAGTCTGGCATTTGTCTCTAAAGGAGAAAACTTGTCATGGAATATAGGATTCAAGAACTATGGAGCATGTCCTAGAAGGGAGTTTGAAAGACAAAGATTTTTAATTCTTTGAATCTCTAGGAGAGAGCTTAAAGCTCCAAGACAGAGAGAGAGGGAGAGGGAGAGAGAGAGAGAGAGAGAGAGAGAGAGAGAGAGAGAGAGAGAGAGAGAGAGAGAGAGAGAATATATTTCTAGTTGAAGAGCTATAAGAGTTGATGAAGAGTGCTGATATAAGTCAAGGACAAAATGATAACCAAGGGTATAATGTAGTCAAGAAATTGATAAAATAATGTTTATGTGAGGAAAAAATGAGTTTTTTCTTTCACACATTTATTTTTCTTTAAATTTTCTTCTTTCTAGACCCATATTCATTATTACATCCTGCTACTTTTTTCCCTTCTTTCAATATAGTTTATGTGTTAATATGAGTCTAGGAGCTTCTCCTTGAGAACTTTACTTTCATTGGAAGAGGATCATTTAAAATTCCACAGGAAAAAAAATAAAATTCCACAGAATTCACAAATGATGGGGTGACCAGCCTACTCTTACATGTTCTCCTGCCATAATGTATTACCTTGCTTCAGGTCCCAAAAGCAACAAGCTCAACAACTATAAACAGAAACTTCTGAAAACAGGAGCCAAAAGAAGCCTTTCTTTTTAAAGCTGATTTTGTCACAGTGATTGTAAGGTTATTAGAAGATCAATCAACATAATTATTTTCTTCTTGCAAAATATCTTTTAAAGCCAAGTTTTCTGGAATTTATTCTGAAGCTTTTTTGTTATTGTGTGTATTGAGTCTACATTGACATTTGTACACCTTATATATTCTTGAGGATGTTAGTATGATAAAGTTCTTTCATAACAAGAATAAGGTATTTTGAGACTTTATGACTCCTTTAGTTGAACTATGGTTTTCATTTCTATGTAAGGGAAAAAAAACCTTCAAAGCAAGTCAGAGTACATTTCTGAGCACGACAATAAGGTATTATGTACTTTACAAATGATAGTTTGTCTCTAACCTACTTTTAAAGATATGATTAAAGATGTAAGCATCAGACTGATGTAGCATTTAAGTATATATGCTTCTCCATATACATTCATTCACTTTCCTTGCTTTCTGTATAACAGCAATGTTGTTACCCTGCCAAAGTTACATGCTTGGGTACCCACTTGTGCATTTCTTACAAGCACAGAAGAGTTAATGGAGGAATGTATTTAACTAATAAAATGGGAGCTATCCATTTGTCTCCTTTTATCCCCTAAATGGGCTTCATAGATATGTGGTAATTTTATAAATACTCTCATAAGAGACTGAGAAATTAGCTTGCAATCAAACAGACTTTAAGCAACTCAGTGAAATACTCCTTAATATTTGCTCCTCTTTCTTTGCTAATACTTACCTTTTTTTGTTTCCAGCTCTATTTTCTAGAAAATCCAGGCTAGGAGGAACTATAGCATAAAGTAATAATTTCTTTCAAATTCAGAAATTTGAAACATCACCATCTTGAAAACAAGATATCTAGTAACGTGTCTGTAATTATTACTTCATTGCTATTACAGTCACACATTTATTTCAACCTCTAGCCTGCAAGTGGAGAGTTATTCACTACTTGGGGTTTGTTACTCTGAAATGGTTTACATTGTGCTCCAGATTTCTAAACATGACTCTGGATCATGGACTTGGGAGTCAGACAGCTAGGTTCAAATGTTACTTCTAGCACTTATTATTGTTACTCTTGGCAAGTCATTTCACTTTGAGGAAATAGCACCTACTTCATAGACTTCCTTGTTAGAGTTGACTAGGATTATAAAGGTATGCTAAAACTAGTGCTTAGTGACAGTAAACACTATATAGGGTTTATTATATTTATTATAGCTATTGTGATGACAGAAGATGTGCTGGAACCAAAGAAAAATTATTGACTTATACACTATGAAATATATTAAAAGACTAAAATACATGAAAAGCAAAATTAGTGGCAACAGATGACTTAACTAGGAAAAAAAGTCAAGCAGGAAACATCCTCTAAATATTCTTTGTTTATACAGTACATGACACAAAGTAGAAAAATAATGAAAACAAAGCCGCTCTAAAGGATTTAGATGTCATTTGTATATATTTTAAATATACATGTGCAATACATTAAAATATATAGAGATGTGTGAATATATATTTACATATATACACATACACACACACACACACACACACACACACACACACATATATATCTATGAAACCACAGAAGGGATACATATGCACACTCACACGTCCATGTGCCTATCCCAACAGGACCCATCTATATGTAAACCAGATGCAGTCCGTAGCAGGCCAACTTGGACACACGTGCAAGCCCTGGCTCGGCAGCACATTGCAGATTGTAACTATATTTGAGTAACCCTTCAGTTTCTTCTACCAAGTATAAGGCCATTTAGAAATACACTGTGAAGAGCTCCTCTGGGTGTATGGCAGAGCCCAGGGCCCCTCTGGCAGTGCACAATTTGCCTGAGTAAGGACTGCGGGATTGGGATATCAAGGAGCTATCAAGAAGGCGGGACTTGTGTTATTTCGGGTGTTGAAGCTAATAAGCAAACATCCATAGAATATCTTTAGCTCCATAACAATGCACTAGTATCAGAGAATCCTTAGATATCTGAGCTCTAAGCAAATTTCAGGCAGAAGCAGAGAGAAGCGTGTGTTGCTACTCATCACCATTCAGCTTGACCCAGAGAACTGGACATAGCTTGTAGGGGTAGATAAGTTTAAAGTACAATCAAGCCGACTTGTAAGGTTAAAACGAGTTACTTAAAATTGAATAATCTAAAAGCAACATAGATTATAGGTATTGGTTTGAGTTTATAAATGTCCCAAGAAGCCTAACCTTATATATGGCACCATTTGCAGCAATATCATTAACGTTATTAATAATCATTGTAACATATTTGTATATACAAAAATAGAGCAAAGCAATTCTACAAGAGATGTAAGTGAAGGTGTGGGGCTGTGTGCAACCCAAATATTAACAAACTTCAGGAAGTTTCAGAACCAACAAAGACTAAGTGGCACATATTTCTGTAGTATAGATCCAACAAGATGACATGGATGTCCCTTTCTTCCCCTATGTATGACTTATTTATGTTTCCTCACTTCTCCACCCTGCAACACACATCCATGCACACTTTAAAAGAGATGATATATAAAGTTAAGAGTCTGGAAGTCTTAAACTAAGTTGGAGCACCTTGATTTCAAGCAAGTGCCCTCAATTTCTGAATTTCTTGGTGAATTTTGGATTCACTTACAGAGGGAAACTATACATTCCTGTGTCTTTTAGCAGCAGTCTTTAGCGGTCTGCCATCACCACTGTAGCCTTCTCCTAGTAAAAGAGATTCCCAGCACAGGCTCTCTGTATTTTGTAAGAGCAAGGTCATTTCTTTGCATTATGTATCTTTAATCTCAGTTTTTCACTGTTGCTGAAATCTAGGTTCTCAGGCAGCTGCCATTGCAGACAAAGCCAGGAGTGAGCACGAAGTGTGCAGCAAAGAGCAGATAGGTGCAATGGTGAAGATACAGCTTGGTTAGGGCTTCTTTTTTAAGTTTTTTTCTTTTCCACACATGAGCTTCTACAAGGTGACAGCCAAAGGTGATGTCCAATGGTGGCAGCCTCAACACCTGTTAGTTAGCCACCTACCATGCACTGCAGAAAGACCACCATACTAACTTGACATGGTTTCTGAAAAGTAATCAGAAAGGAATGGCTTTCTGTCACTGTTCTAAGAAAAAGTCTAATGACTCAATGTGGTACAAGGAGAACATATTGAGCTAGGAGTCAGAAGACCTATATTTCAGCCCAAATTCTGTTATTAACTTAGTGAGTGTTGTCTTGGGCAAGTCCCTTCCTACCTCCAGGCCTTAGGTTTCCCATCTGTAAAATAAGGGCATTGAACTAGACTGACAGTTAAGATTCCTTCCAGCTCTAATGTTTTATGACTTTTTATGTCCATTATTAAGGCCTGAGCCATGCAGTCTCAGGGCATTTAGCTTCTAAGAGAGAACATACCTCTGTAATATCCTTTGCTTTGTTCATTTAGCTATAAAGCACGTCTGCCTTTGGCACTTGGGTCAGACATACAAAGTTAAGAGCATCCTGATTTACTATCCTACTCAGCATGCTAGTGGAATCTGTCAATATTATAAGTTGATTATTGGGAAAGGGAGAAAAATTCCAACTAATTAAATATGGAGATGTAAGATAACTGAATTTCATATGCTCACAAACAGGTGAGTGTGGTTGTGAGTGCATACACATATTGGGATACAGACTATTGCTAATGATCAGTTTAATATAGTAATCCATTTCCCTTAACAAAATTTAGTAAGTAGTATAGCATAGGAAAGTTTGGTGTCCAAGGAAACACCTATGGAAAAAACAGCACTTTCAGATATGTTAGAAAGAGGAATGCGTGGAGACAGACATAGATAAAACAAGAAAAAATAATACAGACAACAAAAGGATTAATCTGAGAGATGGGAAACAAAACAATAGAAAGGAAAGAAGAAATAAAAGCAGGAAAGTAAAAGTAAGGAGACTGAGAATGAAGGGGGAAGGAAACTGGAACCAGATAATGAAAGAATAGGAGAGAAGAAATGAATAGAAAAGGGTAGTAAACAAGGAAATGGGGTAAAAAATCCCTGGAAGGTTGAATGCTGTTCCACCTGCACCTGTGAAAACTATCTTACCAGAAAGCTTCCAAAGGTACTGTGGAAAGCAGAGTGACAATCAGAGCCTGCACCGGGAGGCATTAAATTGGGGAGCCCCTAAACCTCCACGTTGCTGGCTCTGTCAGTCCTCAGTGACCCAACCTCATACTCATGTATCACCTGAATTTGTCGTGACAGCCATAAGGGCTGAGGTGGTGGGGTATAGAAAGGTTAAAGGAGAGTAGGGTAGGTAACTGAAAAAGAACAAGGCATCCTGCACCAGGATGTACTTCGCCATTCCCCTGATGCTTCAAGAACAAAAGAGGTAAGGCCCTAACTTTGGCTACTTTACTACTCCTCCCTGTCTCCAAACATGAGGCCTATGCTTTATTGATGGGATAAGAAGGAGAAAGCTCTGGATCCATCTTGTGGAATGGTCATACAGATTTTTCCTGGGCCTTGGGGAAGGGTGCACTACCAGAAGAGATTTTTCTGCACACAGTGTTGGTGTGCCTCTTACAGCGGCAGCCTGGTCGCCGGAGGCTATCATAGCCCTGCTGGCACAGATGGAGGCATCCACGGGTAGGCAGGTAGCAGCACAGGCAGGGTAGGAAGAGGGAGATGAGGCTCATTGCTGCCCAGCGGACGAAACAAGAGCTAGGCCCACAGGAGCAGGGCTCATCAGCGCAGTTATCTTCATCATCAGTGGAGCAGTGGTAGAAGAGGCCCTTGACACAGCAGAGGCAAGTGCCATAATCAAGGAGGCTCTCAGCAGAGCAAAGGCAACGCTGGTTGCACAGCCAGCAGGAGGGGAGGGGGCGAGCTGCTGTGCAAGGGACACACTTGCAGCGCCCACACTCCTCACAGATGAAGAGGTGCTCACTGGGGTGACCAGCAGATTGCTCAGCTTCTCCCTTCAGAGCACCATCAGCCTTTGGGTGGGCCCCTGCTCCAGGCTGGGTTCGGATAATGGATTGGCCTGAAGGTGAGGGTGTAATGCTGGCCAAAAGCCTTTGATCAGAGGCAGTGGTGCTATGGGACATTGAGCTGGCAATGCTAGATTGGCTCAGATGCTGAGGCAAGGGCTGCAATTGATGGCACTGGCTGAGACTGCGGGGGAGACCAGTAGGCATGGTAGCCAAGGACCAATCAGATTTGTGGGTCTGCACAATAAGGGAAGGGCTGGAGAGGGCCTGTTTACAGGGAGCTGGAGGCCGTTCCACATAATCATTGCTAGCATGAGTAGAGCGCAGCTGTTCAATAGGCAGAATTTGTTGGAAATCATCTATCACTGTGGCATCCATTTTGCCTTGATTTTTGAGCTCTGAACGATAATGGGTCAGAGTGGCACTTATGGTGATAAAGAGGAGCCCTTGTAGTTACATGGACCTCAGGGCACATCAGAAAATCCTAGGAGAGAAAGAATAGAAACAATAAATGAGAACACAGAGGCATGAGTGCTTTGCAAGAAACTTATCAGGACATACCACCACTGTTACCTCCAATCACTATATGGTAGTCGTCAAGTTATACCTTTATTTGTAACTGCAAATAAAGTTATAATTTTATTTGTACTTTATTTGTAATACTTTATTTTACAGGCAAGTCTGGTCATCCTATCCAGACTATAAACAAGTTTGGGAGTAAATATCAGATTGTTGATTCTTTCTGTTTTCCATCACATAACTAAGTTCATAGGAGCAGCTAAATAGTAGCCTTGAGCATCAGATTTCTAACAAAAAATGGAAACAAATGTTTAATACAAAGGTCACTATTTAAAGCAATGCTGTAGCATTCAAGTTTCCCTTGAAAAGTTGCTTATATGATTATATGTATGTGTATGTATGTAACCCATCAAAACTCTCCCTTCAGCCCACTTTATGACAAGGAAAAATAAACAGATGAGAAAATACATTGTTTGAGTCAACAAACATAGTCAAAAAAGTAAGCACAGTATAAGAACAGCAGAGACACATACAGCCAGAATTAGGCTGTCAGTAGACTAATATGGGAGGAAAGCCCTCTCAAGAGCACAGAAAGTCAATACTCATCATTTTCAAGTTATGGACTTCTTTAACTTATTGAAGAGGTGACATTTCTTAAATAACTTTTTTTTTGATGTGTCACTATACTGCCCAGACTGGTTTCATAATCCTGGGCTCAAATGATCCTCCAATCTCAACCTTCAAAGTAACTGGGACTTCAAAGTAACTGCCACCACAACTGGCTTCTGGATTTGAACATAGACAGACAGACAGATACATAGATAGATACATAGACAGACAGACAAACAGACAGACAGATAGATAGATGAATAACACCTGGAAATGGAACAACTATGGAGGACTATAGGAGGCAAGCCCTGACTTCTTTGAAATATCACCTAAAATTAATTGTACCCATTACCACCCTAAGCCAACTCTATATTAACAGCATTTACCAAGAAGATTCTGTTTAGGCCACTTTTCTTGACCTTTACACTAAACTCAGGCTTCCTTAAAGGGTAGCAATAATTTATACTATTTCTAAGGTAAGTTGACTAGAAAGCATATTCTTACATCTCCATTGTACCACAAAGAGCTGTGCAGTCATTTTCTTAAAGGATTTGATCAAGAACAGAACTGATAATGGTGACCATAGGAAATGTATTATATCAAGAGTAGACTGCTTTACTGTATCACCTAGAGGACTAAACATCTTTAAAAAAAAAAGTATACACAAAACCACTTAAACACAAATCCAAGAGACAACATGGGGGGTGCATCAGAATCTAGGGAGCATTAACATGAATAAATTATATATTTGAAATCCATCAGACTTCAGGCTTCCTCAAAATAGACCAATTACTCATACTGCTGTATGGGTTGGATAGCTTGAATGAGTAATAAAAATAAGAGGGGGGGGGGATACTTGATTAGGTTTCCACAAGCAAACGAACATAACACTGAAATAGGCTCCGAAGTTCTATAGCAATAGGAAAAAAATGCTGCCATTTATAAAGGACTCAGTGGTTAGTAATGACCACACTTATGTGACTTTTAAGGGTTATCTGAATGTATATCTACTTTAAAAATACAGATAAACACTATGTAGACTCTAAGACTCAGGTATTTATGATACTTTTGTTAAATTACTTGCTTTCCTTAGACCTCAGTTGTGCTATCTATATAGTTATAGGAGTGAACTAGGTGATATTTCAGGATATTGCCCCATGATGGTCTGCCTGTATTTTTATAGCTATGTAATATAATAAAATAATTCTCTACATATGCACCACTTATATCTTTAAGTCCTTAAGAGTAAGTTGGCCAATGTGTTCTTTTTTATTCACACAATTCAAAACCAAAAGCATATATCCCCTTTTTCATATACTCAAAGCTCCTGAAACCTCTCACCTCCTACTTTTGCTATATCTTTATAGATTCATAATCTGAGCATTAAAAAGGAACAGGCAGTTTTCATTTGGACTTCTAAATGAACAAGGACATATTATTCAGCTGTTTTGCAGTAGTTTTAGACTGTGAAATGTCTTTTAACAAAATTATAAGAAATGAACTAAAGAATGTGTGGAATCTTTTCCACTGTAAGTACAATAGCATACATGCTAAATGCTGTTTAGACTCATAGATTTACCTAAGGAAACTACTGTCAAACATATTGCAAATTCTCAAACAGGAATGATTCAAAGGAATGTACACAAAGTTACAGGCGGTAATTGGGTGATATTCCATAGACAAGATTCCAGGGATGTCACTAAGTACCTGAGAGACATGCCCAGAAAGTTGAAGCTAAGCTTGGAGGAATCTAGGTCATAATACAAATGACTCAGAACCAATAATGAAAACTGTGTTCAAGGATTTTTTATCTCTGAGGATCAGAAGGGCACATAGTGTTTAGGTTAAGAATGTATATTAGAATATTGATTAGATGTCTGCAAGACAGGAGTTGAGAGACATGGTTGGATGATTAAAGGAAGTTCTGGGATCAATCTGTACTAATGAGGTACTGTCTTTGCCTTCAGATAAGGCAGTCGACAGTGTGAAATCAGACAGTTTCTTCTTGCTCTTAGTTTTTTGTTGTTGTTGTTGTTGTTTTTTATTAGAATCAACTCTGACTCCAATGCAGAAGATCTGTAATATCATGGGTAGTAGAAGCAGAATAAAATCAGGGTCTTAGGTGAAATTTAAAGGAATGAATAATAAATTGTCATTCTGGACCTGTTAAGCCTTATTTGGATAGCAATGAGGAAATAAAATAGATGCATAATACAGCAGAAGAAGGGGAAATACTGAAAATGGAATAGGTAAAGACTGCTGCAGCATGAGACTAGATGAAAAACTACCACTGCATGCATGCTTATGATTCAGACATCCACCATTAAAGAGCCATTCATTGTGAGTAGCAACAGTTAAGAAACTGTGCTGTTGGTCCATTCTCTGTTCTATTAAATGAGAATGTATACATGCCATATTATTGAATAGGAGTTGAAGTGATTGTCACTCTTGGCTACTAATTGATGGTATCTAGTGATTTTTGTCACGTAGTACCTCTGCAGTAATGAATGATGCATTGTAAACCCACTCCCATCTCGGTCTTGGTGACCAGGTGCTCTAGCTTTCTCAACAGTTTTTCTGTAGCCTTGAAATTTGCTATGTTCAACCTAAACAGAAATTTGTTTTCTTATGCCAATTTAGGGACTCTAAAGGTATGTTCGTGTTTCTTGATGAAAGAAACACATTTTCTCCTTGAAAGGCAAAATCTACCGTATTGAAACAAAAATTGAAAATTTTCCTATCTAAAGCTCTTCTATGCTAACACCTTAAGACATTTCTGATTTCTGTGTAAATTCTTTCTAATACAATATGACTCAATGTTGATTTCAAAAAGGGAGAAACAGGAGGGCCTGGCTCCTGTTTTTTGCCACGTTTGTGGGTTCAATGCTGTTTTATACCTTACTGTGTAACGACTCTGGGGTGTGTTGCTTTTTTTTTTCTGTACTCTGCTGTTACATATACCGGTTCTCAGAATAACTAAAAGCAAACATGAGGGAATTTCTGCTATGGCTTTATATGTTTTCTTAGTTCTACTGTTCCAAAGTCTGCTCTCTAAAAATCCCTCTCTGTGCAAAAGCATTTGCATCTCTATCAAAGCATACCCCCCCTTACAAATACCAAGTTGTATATAGTTTACATTACTAACCTCTCAGCCACTGACTGGGCCTCCCTCCTACCACATACATCTTGCTGGAACTGCCAGGTTCTCACCACATTTAACTCTTAACTTGTCACTTTGCTACCCAAGTCCTATTCATTACTTTAATAGTTTCACTAAGACTCAGAAGTTTATTTCAAACCAGGGTGTCACAGTTTTAAGACCTATGCTTTATTTATTTAGTGATGAGTGTTGCAGACAAGAATTGTAGTAACAAATGAATTTACATACCTCTAATCCTGGGGGAAATGTTAAGAAGCTATTGCTCATTTAAGAAGTTGGAATCTTTTTTTTTAAGTCCCAATCCTTTTACAAGACACAAGAAAATTACATTCTAGTCTTAATGCTAGCTTTACTTTGCTGTGTGATTGGAGGCAAGTGACCTCTGTTCCAGGCCTCAGTTTCTTCATCTGCAAAGGGGCATGCAAAAAGGGGCTTTAAAACAATTCCTTTTCTGGAATGTTTTAAGTTTTATGCTGGGTTTATTAGCTTCTTAGTCTCAAAAGTCTTTCATACAGAATGTCTTCTTTCCTTTAAGTTCTTTACTTCGCTTAATACTCAATTCTGTAAACACTTTCAAATCCAAGTCACTCAGATTACTATCTTAACTATGTTTCACCACTAGAAACCTAAAAATGGGTAAAATGTTGCCATTTATTTGTTTAGAGTCAAAGAGGCAAGAATAATATATTCATTGTGGATAAACTGCTACTTTGTGCCTTCTTTGTATTTATGTATGAGCTGACTAGTTGGGAACCTGATTTAATACCTACCTGGTATAACGCTGAATTCATGTGATAACACATCATGTTACAATGAGGTTTTAATATGCCCAGATAAACAACTATAGTTTGTAATTTGAAACTGATTTTCTGCTTAGGAGTTTAAGATCTGCTTTCTGTTCACTGGACTTGGTTTGCAGCATGTAGAGGTGAGTGATAATTAGTTAGACATGTGGGAGTGTGCTGTAAACCACTGCCGTAGGTCCTATCAAATGCCTATTGGCTAAGTAGATGTGCTTAGGCTCTCACTTTTGACTAAATTTCTATATGCCCCATAGAGACATGTGTACATATACACAGGCACAGATCCAGAAATTTCTAAATCATTGCTCTGACTCAATGTAAGTAGAGAGTTATGCCTTGTCAGCTTGCGCCATTTCTACCCAGGGCAAGGTGATGTGATGAAATCTGAACGGTGCTCAGCCCAGAATTGTTAGCCAATAGACGACTAGTCTCACGCTAACAGAATGCCCTGCCCGCTGGGCAGCCAGACTGGCCTCCGCAAGGGTTCTTCCTAAGTCCTCACCTTGGGTGGTTAAGCTGCACTATGTGGGGTTTAGGTAAGCAACAAAATGCATGCAAAGGTCAACAAGCTAGACATCAAATTGACATTTGGCTAAGAAGCGATCATTTTCCATTCCTATTTTGGTTTACAAATGTCTAATACAAATAATTTGCTACAAGAGCTGATTCATTTAAAAGGTTTTCATTTTATTTTACCCTGGTGCTTGCGCGTGCACAAACAGACGCGCGCGCACGCGCGCGCGTGTACACACACACATACACACACACACACACACACACACACACACCACACAGGATGTCTGGAATGAATGGCAATCTGTGCATTACATAGATGGAATTCTAGAGTCTTTTAGAGCTAATCCCTCTGGCTTACCTTGAGAAAAGGGTTTATCCATGCTGAGAAAAGCAGCAACTAATAATGCTCCATCTGGCTCAAAGACCCTCTTCACCAGAGTCTGTAGGTTTCTTCACCTCTCTTCGGAAAATCTGAATGAAAACTCCTTTACTGGCAGTCAAACCAGAAACAGATATAGTTCTGTCTTGCCCTTACAGCAGAAAAACACGAATGAGAGAGAGACAGAGAGAGAGAGAAGAGAGAGAGAGAGAGAGAGAGGGAGAGGGAGGGAGGAAGGGAGGGAGGGAGAAGCGAGCTAGAGAGAGGGGGGAGGGAGAGGAAAAGGGGGGGGATCAGATCCGTAGTGGCAGATACTTTATAGATTTTACATGCAGATCTAAATCTTGATGCACGTATTCCCCAAAGAAAGCTCCGCAGGGTAAGTTGCTAGTCGCCGCCGCCGCCTCCGCCTCCGCCGCCTCCTCCGCCTCCTCCGCCTCCTCCTCTCCCTCCTCCGCCTCCTCCTCTCCCTCCTCCGCCTCCTCCTCTCCCTCCTCCGCCTCCTCCTCTCCCTCCTCCGCCTCCTCCTTCCCCCCCCTCCTCCTCCTCCTTCTCCTCCTCCTCCTCCTCCTCTCTCCTCCTCCCCCCTCCCCCCTTCCCCCTCTCCCCCTCCTCCTCCTCCTCCTCCTCCACTACCTCTTCTTTCTCCACCTTCTTCTCCTCTGTCTCCTCCCCCTCCTCCTTCGCCTCTTACTCCTCCCCCTTCTCCTCCTCCACCAGTTTCTTTCCCCCCTCCTCCAGTATTTTCCTTCCCCTCCTCTTCCCCTCCCCCTCCCTTCCTTCTGCATTTCCCCTCCTCCCTCACCTCTTGCACTTCTCTTTTGCCTTAGCCTCCACCTCCGCCTTCGTCTCCTCCAATCTGTCAGATGAATCAAAGCAGCAGAAACTGCAGTTGTAGACACAAGATATCTTAACAGAGCAATAGATACAGCAAGAATGTGATTATTTATATAGCTCCGGGTGTGTTAGTATATTATCTGCGTGAGGAGGGGGTGGGGTGAGATTGCGCTGTATTCAGCTCAGCTAGCTGGCTGTTTTGTGAATGTGGATCATTTCTGCAGGTCTTGTGAATGGATTATAGAAGGATGAGAAGGGATTTATTGCTCCTTGCTATTATTTCTTTCTCTCCCCCTCTCCGTGTCGTTTGCTTTCCCGGAGCTATAGCTCTTAATGCTTGGCTAAGTGGCGTCATCCAGTTGAAATTGAATCGACCCATTAGAACTCCCCATAGGAATCTCTGAATCTAGTCCCTGGGTAATGACTGAAACAAAATTTAAAGGGGAGTAGGGTTGGGTGGAAAGTAACAATTTTAAAGAGGCCTTACTTAAATATCTCTGCCAACCCATTCAGCCCTTGCTGAGTGATTACAGCTACAATCAGATAAACAGATTGAGCTTCTTTAAGGGTTTCTCCAATGTCTTTTCCTCACCTTTTCAGTAGCAATGATTGTCCATTCATCATCTACTGGGAAACCATTACCAACTCTACATTTCCTTTCTTCCTTCAGAATGTCATCTATTTAACAACAAAAAGGGCCTTCTTTTGCGCTAAATGTTGTGGATTCCTGCCTTCATAGAGCCTCCTTGGTACTGCCATGGTCTGAAAATAAAGCAGCCTTAATTTACTCTTAGAAGGAAAGAGGTTTTCCTTCTGGGAATCCAGACAGAAGCACTTGGATAAAAAGGCAAGCCTCATATTTAAAATAAATGAGATCTGATTTCAAGTCCTGTTTCAGTGGACAAGGGGCAGGAGCTAGGCCATTAACATTCTTAGGATGTTTCTGTTACCCCATCTATAAAATTAAGATGGTAAATTAAATGATAACAGTTCCGGCTAAGAAAAACTTGGGGGTCTGGAAACTCAAACTCGGTTTGTTTGTTTGTTTCTGATTACTTTGGGTATTTGCAATCTCTTTTTTAAATTTTATTTTATTGTAAAGATGCTGTACACAGGGGTTACAGTTACATGAGTAAGGCAATGAGTACATTCCTCAGGTATTTTGTTGGTTTGTTTGGTTGGTTTTTGGTAGTATTTGAGTTTTAAATTCAAGGCTTCTTGCTTGCTAGTGTGGTGCTCTAACACTTGAGCTATGTCCCCATCCCTGCATTTTGGTAGTCATTTTGGAGATAAAGTCTAGCAAACTATTCTGTCCAGGCTGGCCTTGAACCATGACCCTGAAACGATTCTCAAGGTTTCAGCTTTCTAAGTGGCTGGGATTACAGGTGTGAGCAACCCACACTCAGCTGACACTCAGATTCTTCATCTTACTCTAATTTCTTGTGTGACCTTTTCAATTTATTTCCCCTCTACATCCTTAATTTACATTAACAGAAGAAGATCTGATTACATAATTGCTTGATCCCCTCTATATTTGACATTCTATTATTTATACTCACTTAGAGGTTTTAAGAAAACAAAAGAAAGCAGAAAATTTTTTAAACGTGGGGGGTCTGCATGTGCTGTGTGTTGAAGGTACTCTAAACAGTTCTGTTGATACAAATGTATATATGTGTTTGGGTGTGTATATAACTTTACTAATCAAAGTTTCCAGTCAAGAAATTTTCATATATAAATTCTTCTCTTTTGTGGCTTAAACCTCTTCCTTATACTTGGGCATACTGAGCTCATGAAAACAACAAAAATTAAACTGAAGGTACATCTGCAAAAGAATACTGATTACTATTGTATTTGTCCAACAATCATTTGTTGCCTTTCAACTGTGTACTAAACACTATACTACTCACAAGATTCAGGCCAAACATGTCAAGAATCACTTTATTTTGTTGCTAAAATTAATAGCTATCTGATTTTGTACAATTAATTTCACCCCTCTGAGCCTGTTTCTTCATCTTTAAAATGGAGTTATTAAAAGCAGTACCTGGAGCACAAGATTACTGTTGTCCTGTAGTTTCTATTAGGCCTTGCATTTAGTAGTTTTATCATGTGCCTGGCATATAATGAGCTCTCAACAAATAGTAACTATGAATGTTAAAACTTGTCCTTGTCCTAATTTAGCCCAAAGGACAGCCAAAAGATTTTTTTAACTTAAACTTCTTTCATGTTTTATTACTTTAATTTTAACAGGTGGGTTACTTAATCCCTTTTCCTTCCTTTATTCTGTGGACTTATATGAAACAAAATAACATGATTCGAACTCAGCTCTTAAGATGATTACCTATGACAAACAAATATGTATGTTTATTATCTTCTTTCATTCAACAATGTCTATGATGAGTCACTCAGTGCTGGTAATTCAATGGCTAAATTTTCTGTCCTCTTGGAATTGATAATCATTTGGGCAAATAGACATGTTTGCTCTACACAAGATACTGTCAAGAATTTTATGTGTTTTAACCTAGTTAATTCTCCAAGAAACTCTATGAGGTATATTTAAATTTTTAATGGTTTTACAACTAAGAAACAAAGGAGCAAAGAGATTAATTTATCCAAAGTTATGCAGCTGGTCAATTGCAGATCTGGGACTTAACCCAAACCAACTCTAAAGCTTACATCCTTAGCCACCATAGTACAACATCCAAATATACAAATCCTTACAAGGAATTTTGCTTTAACTCTTCCAAAATTTTTGGGTTTTGCTGTGATTATAATGTTTATGTCTCTCTGAAATTCTTTGTTGAAAACCAATTATTACTGTGATGGTATTAAGGGATGAAGCCTTTGAAAGCCAATTAGATCACAAAAGTGGAGCCTTTTTAATGGACCCAGCACTCTTACACAGGAGACTCAAGAGTTAGATTGTTCCTTACACATGTAAGAACTCGGTGAGAGGCCCCATCTATAAATCAGGAAGCAGGAACTCACTAGATACTGTCAGTGCCTCGATGCCAGCTTCCAGAACTATGAAAAATAAATTCTGTTACTTATAGGTTACCTAGTCTAAGATATTTTGTTAAGGCAGACAAAACAAAAATAGTATCTTTGAATATTGTTTTATATATCTTTGTATTTGAGTATTATTCATCCTTCTTGAAATACTTCCCTAATCTCTAGCCTTTAGACTGAGCTCCAAAAATTATTTACTATGAGAAAAACTTTGCTGAATCACTGGTCTAAAAGACCAGTTTAGTGTCATTGTTGTCATTGTCCTTCCTCCTCCTCCTCCTCCTCCTCCTCCTCCTCCTCCTCCTCCTCCTCCTCCTCCTCCTCCTCCTCCTCCTCCTCCTCCTCCTCCTCCTCCTCCTCCTCCTCCTCCTCCTCTTCTTCTTCTTCCTCTTCCTCTTCCTCTTCCTCTTCCTCTTCCTCTTCCTCTTCTTCTTCTTCTTCTTCTTCTTCTTCTTCTTCTTCTTCTTCTTCTTCTTCTTCTTCTTCTTCTTCTTCTTCTTCTTCTTCTTCTTCTTCGTCTTCTTCTTCTTCTTCTTCTTCTTCTTCTTCTTCTTCTTCTTCCTCTCCTCCTCCTTATTTTCCCCTTCTCTTTCCCTTCTTATTTTAACTGTATTTTTTTTTTCTTTTCTGGTACTGGGGATCAAACTCAGGACATTGCACTTGCTAGCAAGTGCTTTGCCATTGAGACACATCCCAGCTTCTCCAGCTCCTCCTCCTCTTCCAACACTATCACAGTACTTAGCCTTATTGTAATTATTTTTTCTCATGTTAGACAGTGATCTCTTTGAATAGACAATGTTTATCATATTTATTTTCACTGCTATTTCTCTAAGGACTGGTGTCATTATCAATTCAATGTTTGCTGAATGAATACAAAATGGAAGACTCTTGAAAATCTACATGGATAGATATCTGCATTTGTACTTTAAGCTATTGGACCTTCAAAATACTATTTGTAGTTTTGAGAGTTTTCATAGATCATTGGGATAGTACAATTACATATATATATCTTTTTTCAGATTGATACATTAGAAAGTTTACTATGCATTATCTAACATCTTTAACAAACCCATTAGATTTTTTTTAACAGTGCATTTCAGGAAATCCATTTTCTTAGCTCTAGTTAATGGTGTGCTTTTCAGAAAATATGCATTGGCAGATTCATTGAGTTGTCCAGGGTCATCCAGCTAGTTAGTGACATTGTGGGGTCTAGGAACAAACATAATTCTCCTGTCTTCAAATTCAGTCCCTTCTTTCTTTTGATAAGACTCTTGGATGATTGAATTCCAAATAAATTTGGAGAA